AGAAAAAAATACTTGTGGCGACTCCCGTTCGTTCGTTCTTTCCATTTTTTTCATCGTGGCATACGTACATAATAAATGGCTTTCTTGATATAATTCGATGTCGAAATGAAACTAGGCTGTTTCACTTTTATTTCTACTCGTATTTTACGAAAAAATACAAACGAAAGTTTTATTTACTGTGTTCATTGTAAATAATGAAACCACAATATGTTCGATTCGTCGTGTCGTCTAACAACAATCTTCAACTTAATTCTCCATTACAAAGTTCATCGAACTTCAAACCTGTGCACAAAGTGCTGCAGCAACAAAACACTATTTCTTCAATTCGAGTTCTTAACGGAATTACACCATCACCTACAGCCACCTTACCGACTCGTCTTATTATAACAATGAATCCTACAACAATAAATAAATCAACAATTAACACGGTATTTCTCGAAAAAAAAAAACTCGTCTTCCATTGATATGCTGGTGAAGGAATCGAGTATTATTGAACCTCTTCCAGCACAAAATACATGCAAGTAGATTTGTGTAACAAAATTTTTGAATCCTATTTGTTACGAAATTTTATCATTTTTTAAGTACAAATACAACTACATCAACTATAAAATCAACATCATCAAATTCAAAGCCGGAAAGTGAATTAGTATGTGTTGAATCTACACAATGTAGAACAAAAGAAACTAACAAGAAAATCAAAGAAAGTCAAAAAGGTAAAACACTTTGTATTATATCATTAATAAATCATTTTTGTAGACTATAAAATAGTTAACAGATCTAGAAACTGGAGCAAAGGTGAAACACTAACATTTATCAGCATCTGAAGTGACTTTCACTCACAATTACATACTGGTGGGCAAAGAAATGCTCCTATCTATAACATAATGGCGAAGGAGCTAAACTCAATGTTAAAAGATCGACATTTAAGCGGTGCTGATGTGAAAAACAAAATTTCGAATCTTACGATAGAATATAGAAAGAAAAAAAAAGAACAAGGAAAGACTGGTGCTAGTCCGTCAATATGGCCTTACTTTGACGTGTTAGATAAATTACTAGGTAAGTTTGACTTGCTACATGTAATCTAAAATATAATATTTATAAATTTTTTTGTTTTGAGTACAAACAAATAGCTCGTAAAAATCAGTTTTACATGATATATTTTGATAATTTTAAATGTACGATTTTTTAGGAGAAAGACCTTATAATGACGACTCTCTTCTAACAGACTCTATGGTTATTCACTAAGCACAACTCGTGGATGTTGAAAATAATCCACCACTTGATCTAAATGCGACACAAGTATCGCAACCGGTCAATGATTGTATTACAACATCAAATGTTGAAGAAACAGCTGATTCTAATTTTAATATTGTAAATCAATCACCAAATTCTTCTCGTAATGATTTTACCTTGAAGTCTGGAACTCCAACAATTAATAATACTACGAAAAAAACCAATAAACTTTAAAAAAAGCGCACTTCCGAAATAAAGCAAAATAAGTTTAAGAATGTTTAACAATAAGTATGTTTTTTTTATTATCTTTTAATAGGCTGGGTCTAATGCAAGAACTTCTCGGAAAAATCAATGACGCAAATGAAGCTGCATGTCGAACTGAAGTGAAGATGATAGAGTTGCTTGAAAAGCAAACGAAACTGCAGGAGGAAAGCATCAAAAGTGACAAGGAGTTCTTGGATATTTTCAGAAATATTCTGAACAAATGAGTTCAAATCAATAAAAGTCTTTAAAGATCATACTTTGTATGCTTATGTGTGTATGTCTTTCAAGAGAATCCATGTATTTATTGTGTGTTAGTTGAAATTCTTTTTTTTTCATGATTTTTTTGTGAATCAGATATTGTTGAATTTATTTCTGAATGTTAAGTTTTTTCTTCTAAACCTGTTCGTATTATTTTTTCTGTAGTTCATCTCTCACTAAGAAAAAAACTTAACTATATGGAAATCATTCTTTCATAATATATGCTGTGGTGTTTTTGAAAACATCTCGAAGTTGAAAAATTATTCCACAAAGTACCAATATTGTTGAATAATGTTCGTGTTGACTATTATTAACACTTTCTTCTATTTCTAGATGAATGAAACATCAGTTTTTTTATTACATACATAGTTATCAAAAAAGAAAAAATTAAATACTGACATACGTATTATTCGGTCCGAATGTCAACAATTATTACGCAAATATCGCCGCAATTTAAATCTGATAAATAAACTTATTTTTATTTTGTTATCACACTTGGACAATTCATTGCAAATTAACCGTCGCGCCATTTGGTGTTTGAAAAGAAATGCTAATTGGTGGGATGAGGTGGTTCCACTTATGACTGATAAAGAATTTAAATCAAATTTTCGGCTTGAACGTTCGACTTATTTGGATCTTCTTCAACAAATCACACCGTATTTACAAAAATCTAATACAAACTTTCGAACAAGTATTCCTGTCGAGAAAGTGGTTTGTTGTGCTTTATATTTAATTGGTTCCAGTACAGAATTAAGAATTGTATCAAACCTCTTCGGAATAGGTAAAAGTAGTGCTGCTCAAATATTGCACGTTTTTTGTAATGTAATCATTCAGTTATTTTTGTATCGTTTTATAAAATTTCCGGTAACCAGTGAAGAAATTAAAGAGACTACAAACGGTTTTTTAAAGAAGTTTCATTATCCTATGTGTGTTGGG